AGCCTGTCTGAATGGGAAGACCTAGGTAATTGGACTTGATTAATTTGATGTAATGTCTGTGAAAATTCTTAGATGTGCATCTACACTAATATGTAGAATTGAATGGCATTGGATTGATTGTAAGCTTCTCAGTTTGGACTTGAAACTATTGGGAGGGGGAGAGTAGTTAGGATTTAAACTGCTCTCTGAGTTTTCCCATGCTTGGAGAATGAGCCACACGTTTCCCAAGGAAAGAAAATTGAAGATTTAAAGGGACAGGACCTCCCCAAGGCCTGAAAGTGTTGTTCCATGGTATTTGTGCATGTGTGTGTGTGTGTGTGTGTGTGATATCATTTACAGACCTGGAGGGAAGTTGAGATCCTTTAATAATAGAAAATGGAGCTCATTGACTTATGTACAGTTCCCTGAAATAATCTGCCCCTCAGGACTTTTGTGTCTTTATTGAGGTCCTAATCTACATGCCATTATTAACACACAGGATTGCTAGAGAGAAAAGTAGACCTGGCCTTCACTAAAGTGACCAGAGAGGAAGGAATACATTCACAAGGGCCAAAAGCAAGGACAATCAATAACAGAATTACCGAGTTGGAAGACACCTTGGAGGTCTTCTAGTCCAACACCTTGCCTGGGCAGGAAGCCCTATACCATTTCAAACAAATGGTTGTCCAAACTCTTCTTAAAAACTTCCAGTGTTGCAGCATTCACAACTTCTGGAGGCAAGTTGTTCTACAGATTAATTGCTGTCACTCTTAGGAAATTTCTCCTTAATTCTGGGTTGGTTCTCTCTTTGATAAGCTTCTATCTGTTACTTCTTGTCCTACCCTCAGAATAGGTTGACTTCTGTCTTTCTGTAACAGTCACTCAAATATTGAAGACTGCTATCATGTCACCCCTAGTCCTTCTTTTTGTTATATTCGACCCAGCAAGTTCTTGCAACCATTCATCATATAGTTTTGCTTTCAGACATCAAATCATCTTTGTTTTCCTTCTCTGCATTAATTCTAAAATCTCAACATCTTTTTGAATCATGGTGACCAAAACTGGATGTAATATTCCATGTGTGATCTTACTAGTACACTACAAAAAAGTACTAATGCTTCACATATTTTGATACTATTTTCTGTTGATGAAACCTAGGACTGGCCTTTTTGGCTGCAGCAACCCACTTTTATTTATACTATTGTACTATTGTATTTTATATGTTTTAATTATTACAGTGGGATATGCTTGAGAGAATGGCTGTGGGGTGTATATGAGTGGACTGAGAGTGCAGCCTGGTGCCCCCTCCACTGAGTGCAGAAGCAGAAGTGGAT